AGGGTCTCACTATGTAGTTCAACCTGGCCTTGAACTCACTATGTAGCCCAGGCTGGCCTTGAACTCATGATGACCCTCCTGCCTCAACCAGTGCTGGTATTACAGACTTGGGCCACCACACCTGGCTCTTTTCTTAAAATCTTAAACTCAAATAAAAATGAAAATATCTATCCTTAGAACTTGTTCTGAGGGTCCTAACATAGTGACCAACTTCTTTGTCTAGCTTGATAAAGATAAATGAGGATGTCATTTGATAACGGTAAAATGAGGATGTGATTTCTTCATCTGTTCGCACCTCCCCTATGGAGGAAGAGCTCCTTCCTGTGTGTTAAGTGTCAGAAGTTCCATTGCTTCTCCCTGAGCACTGGGAAATACAGCGCAGACTGGCTTTTGCACCATTTAACTCAGAGGGCTGTCTAGTATTGGCCAGAGCCTTTTCACCTACCAGGGACTGTGTTTGTTTCTTCTATAAACCTAGAGGGCCCTCTGTGGTCACTGACTGACGTAAACAGCAAGTACTACATGTGTGAGTCCTTGGATAAACATAGCAGTACTCTGGGCCACAGCTGGGCTCACACTGGGGCAAAGACAGGAAAAGAAGGCACATTCTCAGCCCTTGTCATGTGCTCTGGCAGGGGACTGTGGTTGTACCTCTTAGGAATGTCTCTCTTATTTGTTAATATTGATAACTCTTTTGCATTGGAAAATTTGAAACATACAAAGGTAGAGACAGTAATGACTCAATTTCCCCCTCTCATCCTAATTCAATAATTATCTCTCCTCATAGCCAATCTGATCTTATCTATACATCTACCCACTCATTTCATTGGTGAATACTTCAGAATATATCTCTAAAATACATTTGTAAAAGATAACTTTTAAAAAGTAGGCCACAATGCATTGATCACCCACACCAAATTAACTAATTCCTTAATATAATCAGACATGCAGTCATTGTTCAGATATCCCAATTGTCGTATGATGTTTTCTTTTACGTTATTTAATTTGGGATCTGAGTATCACCCATACATTGTAACTAGTTGGTGTGTTCCTTCAATTCCTTTCATATATAGAACCCTTTTCCAGCTCCTCCCCTCTCTGCAGTGTCTCTGTGGAGCAGGGCCCCTTGTCCCGTAGCTTTTCACTGTCTAGGTCTTGCCGTTTGTCTCATTATGTGTTGTTAGCTTGTTCTTCTGCCCTAGATATTCTCTAGAAAGGGACAGCAAGATTTAGTGGCTTGATCATAATCAGGTTGCTATTTTTGGCAGGAATAGATTCCAATGACTGTTTCTTTTTTTTAAATCTACAGCCACCACTTGTCCTGCCACAATTACATGACATACATTTAGAAGATGGCTTTCCTGAATATTTAAAGATAGGAAGTATCCACACACCTAATTGTTCTCAGAGGTTTTAAAAAATGATTGTATGAGTTTTCTATTGCTGCCATAATAAAATAGCACACCATGACTTAAAATGTATTTATTGTCATACAGTTCAGTATGTCAGAAGTTCAAGGCAGGTCTCACAGAGGTAAGATCGAGATGTGAGCAGGGCTGTGTTCCCTTTTGGAGGCCCTAGGGGAGAGTCCATTCTCTTGACGTTTGCAGCTTCTGGAGGCTGCCCACATCTCTTGGCTCACAGCACCCTTCTTTCATCTTCAGAGCCAACCACTGCGTCTCTCTGGCCCTTCTTCATAGCTCTCTCTGACAGCTGCTGGAAAGGTTCTCTGCTTTATAGGACTCGTATGATTAAGTTGGGTCCAGAGATAGTCTGGGCCAATCTCCCATCTCAAATTCCTTAACCTTAATCACATCAATAAAGTCCCTTTGCCATGTAAGGTAAGCTATTCACAGTTCCAGGGATTAGGACATGAATGTCAAGGAGAGGTCCATTATTTTTCCTTCCACAATGATCATCCATCTTTTAATATTTATACCATTGTAAAATTGAAGAATGATTCATACAGTGTGATATGTCACAAATGACCTATTATGATATCATAATGCCTCAGGTTATGTGATAGAGTAGGGCAGATCATGGAAGTGAACTGTTGTTATGACGTGTATAGTAGTTTATTGGTTATAACAGATTATCTGCGTGGTTCTTGATTCTTATACTTTTGTGAGCAGCGGCATTTTATTTTGATCATTATCTCTAAATGGCTATGACCTTCCCTTAGAAATGCTACTTTAGAGAAGCTCAGGTAATTGATGTGATTATTATTACCTGCACGGTGTCTCAATTATCTTCTGTGTCTGTGGACTGTGGGAAGAAATTTATTGTAACAGTTAAACATGTTGAGGATGTGCCAAGGTCTTACAGAGGTTACTTGAGTGGAGCAGAACTTTTAGTCCTCTTTCTGTTGCACCTTAGAGAGATGACCTTTAGGTAGTTAAGTCAGACAAGAAGTGTGAGGGGAAAGAGTATAACATGTATTTTTCATTCATAATCTGTGTCTCTACGAGATAAAGCAACTTCAGGACACAGTGACTTTCTTCCTAATTGAAAATCCTAGAGGAATCTCCTTTCCTGTTTTTAAATTGCTTTACCTTTTAATTTATATTCACACTTGACACTCCATCCTAAATATAGATTATTCTTTGGACGCATTTAGAATTTTACTATAGCATTGGACATCCTATAGCAGTGCTAGGTTGATGATAGATTTCTTTTGGAGACTATCCAAGAGGTTGTTACTAAAGACCAAAAGGACCTCATTATAAAGTAATTTTGCTATAAAATGGTCCCTTGGAATGGTCTCTAGAGGCAGCAAGACATTTATAGCTTTAAAAAAGTGCATAGTGTCAAAAAATGTCACTAAGGGATCCTTACCTCACACCTTTAGTTTAAATAAATTCCAGATGAATTAAAAGAACTAAGTATAATGGCTTAATTCCATAAAAAGACTTGGAAAAAATATAAGTAGATGTTAATGTGATCTTAAGCAAGAAGACCTTTGTGATTTCTGCTTTAGTAGACATCCCTCTAGGTTAAACAGCCACTGAAAATTCTCCTGACTGTATGAAGCTTTAGCTGGCATAATGCTGCCTTCACCTGACATGTCACTTGGGTGAAAAGAGTCAGTGGACTCAGCCTCAGAGTGTTCTTCCCAGTGTACCTGAAAGCAAAGGAAAAAAGGTCTTACAAAGAGGCACCTGAGATTGCCTTGTTTTAAAAAAAAGAAGCATCAAATTTTAAAGAAAGAGCCAGGTGTGGTGGCTCAAGCCTATAATCCCAGCACTTGGGAAGCTGAAGCAGGAGGATTGTTGCAAATTTAAGGCCAGCCTGGGCTACAAAGTGAGCTCAAGGGCAGCCTGAACTGCGTAGTGAGACCCTGTCTCAAAAAGACAAAAAGCAAAACAAAACAAATTCTAAAGAAAGGGTCTCTCAATAACTTTCTAATTTGAATTTAACTCATTTTTCTTTAAATTTTCAAGAACCAGAAAAGCAATATATCTTTGTCTTTTAAACAAAATAGGATTTTAGTATACATTGTTTCATATACTACTTTTTTGTGTGTGGGTACTGGGTGGTGTATTTTACTTTTTTACTCAATAACATATCATGAACTTTCAATACTAAAATGTACATAAATAACATGATTTAATGGATATGTGCTGTTTCACTGTCTGGATAACTAATATTATAAACAAATCCCCATGCTGGGGCATTTAGGTAGTTTCTGGTGTCTCACTGTTAGAAATATATCACTCTAGGTCCAATCAGGAGACAAAACTTTGACAGGGGGACTTTAATATAGAGCATTATATTAATCCACTACAACAGTGGATTAAAGTAAGGAGGGATTAGCTAGCAAGAAGTGAAGAGAACTCTGAAGAATGCAGAGATAGCACATGAGGTGCAGTTGCTAATCTTAGGCAGAGAGTGTCCAGAGATGCGTGGGCCCTCAGGGCTGAGCAAGTACTCAGCTGTGGATCACTGGATTTCAGAGAAATTGTAGTAGTGAGTGTCACCTTCTCTCCCTCCCCCTCCCCCTCTCTCCTCTCTCTTTGTTGGTGGGGTGCTTTTGCAATACTGGTATTGAACCCAGGTCCTTTACACTGAGCTACTTCCTTAACCCTTTTTATTTACTTTTTTGAGTCAGTGTCTAGCTAACGTGCCCAGACTGGGCTCAAACTGCAGTCCTCCTGCCTCACCCTTCCAGAGTGCTGGCATTACTTACAGGCACGGGCTACCACTTCTGATGGTGTATTAAAGTATTTAAGGGGGCCAGATCCATGTTCAAAGAGCAGTCAGGGTAAATTTGGAACTGAGAGGTAATAAATTGATATCTAGCACAGGAAGGATCCTCATAAATATTTCATTGTATACTACTTGCATGTCTTCTTACATACATTCTTAGACTCACAATTGGTAGATTAAAAATGGCACCTTTAAGCAATATTTCAATCAGAAGGTTTAATTTATCCTATTACTACATAGTACTTGGGAGCTTCTGGTTCTTCCCACTTTACTTAGCTTTGGATATCATTGTTCTTTAATCCTTATAATCTGGTTAAATTTTTTTAAAAGCTCATGATTATTTGCATTTTTTAAAAAAATAATATCAAAGCTTGTATGTGTTTTTGTTATAAAATATTTTGGTAAAAAATATTCTCCTGTGTACTTACTGTTTATATCCTTTATACATTTGAAAATTGAGATGTTAAATCTTTTTATTACTGATTTATAAATGCTAAAGTCTAAATGTTTATGTAGCCAAATTTTATTTCATTTTCCACATTTAAAAATTTAAATCTGGATATCATTTTAGAATAAGGTGTAAGTTAGGTTTTTTGTTTTTGTTCCAGTGATGTTAACTATTTAAATCTGGATATCATTTTAGAATAAGGTGTAAGTTAGGTTTTTTTTTTTGTTCCAGTGATGTTAACTATTTATTTATTGTATGTTGAATTGTGTTCTATGCTTGATCATATTTATGAACTTCCGAGTGTTTCCCTTTGATTTTTAGTTAATTGTTTTTCTTTTTCTTTCAGAACAGGACGCAGGCCTTGATGCCCTTTCCTCTATCATAAGTCGCCAAAAACAGATGGGGCAGGAAATTGGGAACGAGTTGGATGAACAAAATGGTAAGACCACGTATGAGATTGGTCAGATTTGCCCTTTGATACAAATACCACAAACTGGGATATTTGTTGAATGATTTTAATGTTATAGAACGCGTCGAGTTGTTTAATGTCAGTGGATTGTTGAGGCTTAATGCAATTGAGGGTGGTTTGTGGCCAATTTAGATTACAGCTATAAAGTACTATGTAAAGAAATTTGATTTTAAAATGTCCAGTTTTCAGTAACTGCTTTTTAAAATGCTTTGTTTTATGGTCTATTTATCCCAAGAGCTTTCCTTTTATGTGGCAGTGATGTGAAGTTGTCTGTGCTTGGTACACGCCGATGCAAGGCAGAGCAAGGCTGTGTGGTCCTTGTATCAACTGCATTCCTCGAGGGGTTTGTTCTTCAATCAAAATACTAGGCAGTGGGCAAAACCATGTTTGAAGGTCTTTTTCAGGGTTTGATGGGACAAATCCAATGGGAGAAAGATTATCTTGCATACACAGCAGACTGGACTGGGAGAGACAGAGCCCTGAGACATGAGGGCCATCAGGGAGGCCTGGGCTGTGCGGTACGAGGGGGCAGAGCCTGACAGAGTCAGAGCAGTAGGGGTAGAGAAGAAAGGAGGGATTCAAGGGACAGGGAATGCTTTTCCTGTTATCGACACAGTGAAGGGAATTGAAAAGGGACGCTGATTTCTGAGTGGGGAGCATGAGTTCAGATTAGGCATGTGCAGTCAGAGACCAAGTCTCTTCTCTTTGCTGACCTCACACCAGAACCCAGTGAGAGGCCAGCAAAAAGAAGCTGTGGGGAAGCATAGTGTGGAGGTGGTATGCAAAAGCCTGAAAGTGATGGCATCCAGGGAAGCTAGCACTTACGGAAAGCGCCTACTCTGTGCTAAGCGCTGTCACCTTGAGCATTTCATTGACCACACATGTCATGAACGTGAGTCATCTTCATTTGTTAGAGACAAAACTCCGAGTGGCCCAAAGAACTCCTAATGCCACATCATTTATAAGTGACATGGCTGAGAGTCCAACTCAGGTCTTCTGCTTCTCACACGACTGTCTTTTCTATTACACCTGCTTCCTGTCCCAGGCAGACAAATATGGGGAGAAGAAGACATACTGAAAATTTGAGAGGTTTGAGCTTTTGGCAACAGTACTGTGATGGAACAGCTTTAGGAAGGGATACTGTTATGTATGAGCAGGCGCGGGTGTCCTGGTGGTGGGCAAAGGCTTGCCCTGCAGGGAGGGCTGCGCCTGTCTGAACTATATAATGGGCACTTCTTTTCTTGATCCCTAGAAAGAGCGAGTTCATTTATTTGCACAGTATCATTCCATTTTTCTGTGATAAACAAATGCCATCTGTTTATCATCACAAATAAAGAGATTACTAATGTAATTTGAGAAGCCCTCTGTCTTTACAGTCATAATGATGGTTTTTAGTAGTTTCAACTCAGAGGGGAAGATAGTCTGGTCCTTTTCTTGATGTTGCTGATGCGAGCTGGCCAGTTTATGTGTTCGCCTATAATTCAGTTATTGGTCAATGCCTTCCTTGAAACAGTATAGTAAGAAAATACAGGAAAATCCTACCAGGGCTGGGGATGCAGCTCAGTGATAGAACATTTGCCTAGCATGGGTGTGGCCCTGAATTCAATCCCTAGTACCACAAAAAAGAGAGAGAAGAGGGAAGGAAAGAAGAAAAGTCTGCTTTTCCAATGTGCAATTGTTCTTTCTCCCAAAGAAATTGTCGCATGTTTAGTGGGTTAGACTAGAAAAGACACCCAAATTGGTGACGTGTGCGTCTTCTGTAATGTGTAGAACCACAGCACCTGTGAGATGGCTACAACTTGCAGGAGCATAACTTGGGGTGGCGGGGGGAACTAACTTCCCAGGTGAAATCGTTGTACTCTCTTCTACTATAAATCATCATGCCAGCACATCTTTATCTTGTTTGCAGTGGTTATCATAATTTTTGCTGCAAGGGGCTGGGGATTTAGCTCAGCACCACAGTACCTGCCTGATAAGTGCAAACTCGTGAGTTCGATTCCCGGTACCGGGCGGGGGGGGGGGGAATTTTTTTTTTTTTTGCTGCAAATTACTTACCTAGGGAGATTTAAAACTCTTAAAGCCCAGGCTGCGGCTTTGTGAGTTTTTGATTGCTGTTGTGGGTAACACATTACCCACAATCTTGGTGGCTTAAAATAATGTGAATGTAGTGCCTTACAGATTTGTAAGTACCAAATCTGACAGGGGTCCCACTAGGCTAAAACTGAAATGTTGGCAAGGCCACATTCCTTTCTGGAGACTCTGGAGGAGGATGCAACGCTTGGCTTTTCCAGTGTGTAGAGGCACCCATGTTCCTTGACTCAGGGTCCCCTCCTTCAGCAGTAGGTAGTGTGTTTCTCAGGCTACGTTACTCCTGCCAGTAATGTTGCCTCCCTCCTCCACTTTTATTTTTTAAGTAGTAGGAATCAAACCCAGGGACTCATACATGTTAGGCAAGGGTGCAAACATACTGCCACTGAGGCGCACCCCTCTCCCTTTTTAGTTTTATTTTGAGACAGGATCTCAGCATGTAGCCAAGGCTGGCCTGAACTTGTGATCCTTCTTCCTCAGTCATCCAAGTAGCTAGCTGGGATTATAGGTACAACAGAACACCCAGCTCTATTGTGTACTTTTGAGGACCCTTGTGTTACTTTGGGCCCGCTCATATAGTCCAGGATGGTCTCTTTACCTCCAGGTCAGCTGGTTAGTAACCTCAGTCTACAACTTCAGTGCCCCTTTGTTGTAACCTCACAAATCTGCGGGTTCCAGGGACTAAGACATTGCCATCTCTGGGAAGCCATTGTTCTCTCTACTATAATACTTTATACCAAATAAACTTCAGGGGTGGGGCCCAAACATCAGAATCTTTTAAAACTCCCAGGATTGATTTGTGTATGCTGCCAAGTTGGAGAACCAGTGCCCTGGCTGAGTATGGGGACACAGTATATTTAGTGCAGTACTTTTCTGTTGTGTTTCCGACATTCACGTGACACAAACCCCACACATATGTAGAGCATTCACATAACTACATGGCGTCACGTGCAGCCTGAGTCACAGTCAAGAGTTCTGTGCTCTCACACATTTTATCCCAGCCCTTTGCGTCCTCTTTCTTGTCTCCCCCCACCTTCTTCTCCATCCCAGACTCGGATGGATCCATGACATACACAAACATGAGGTATTTTTCCTTTATTTGCCAACATAAGCGGGGTTTTCTCTGTGGTTGCCTCCCAGGGAGACAGCCGTTAAGCTGGTGGTTTTCTAATGTGCACATTTTCTCTCCAGAGATAGGGCAGAGTCAGCCATTTTCTCTCACAGGAACTGAGACTCTCTGGGGATAAAAAACTATATTCCCTGTCAAGACTATAGTCAGCTTCTATTCCATTCACTAAGGGGAACAAAGACCATTTTATCTGTAGGTGGTGGGAGCAGGATTGCAGCCCCATCTGGATCTTTATTGTGACCCACTGGAAAAGGGTACCATTTTGTTGTAAATATCTCCATATGATTTACTGAACCATGAATTATTCTTTTGGTTTTCATTAAATGAGAGAAACAATAGGCCAGGATAATGGCCAGCCAGGCCATTTTGGAATCAAATATCAAAACCTTGCTAATAAAATTCATTATACTTAGACTAGAACCACAAAGCTGAAGGGTCAAATTATCTTCAGTGTAGGAATTCAGTTTTCAACCTTCTCAGAGAGAGTGAAAGAGGACTGATGACCCCCGCCATTGCCCTGCTCATGTGCCAGGGAGGGGATTAGCAGTGGTGTCTTCCCCCTGCTTGTGTGCCACACTAGGGACCAGTGTGAAAAGAGAGGCACTTGCCTTATTAGCACCCATGCGGGGTTGAGACCAGCGTGTCCTCGGAAAGAACTGGAGAACATGACAGTGCTGCTTGAAGGACACAGAAGGATGAGAGATCTCACACACATAAGAGTGAGCTACCGTTCACCGGTTAGTTAGAACGCCTGGTTGAATTTTTGTGTGGGAAATTGGGAAAAATGATGTGATGGACTGAAAACGACACCCCACACCTCCCTACCCCACCCCCGCCGCCAATATCTGTATCTCCATGCCTGGAATCTGTGTTACCTTATATAGTAAAAGACTTTGCAGATGTGTAAAGTTAAGGTTGTCAAGATGGGGAGATTATCCTGGATTACCCAAGTGAGTCCCAAGTGCAATCACAGGTGTTCTTATGAAAGGGAAGCAGGGGCTGCAGATACAACTCATTGGTAAAGCACTCTCCTAGCATGTGCAAGACTTGCGCCCCAGCCCTGCAAAAAAAAAAAGAAAAAAAAAGTGTTGGGGAGGAAGAGGAAGGCAGTGCAATGGCTGAAACAAGATGCTACCCCACTGGCTTTGAAGATAGGAACGGGGCCATACGGCAAGACTTAGGAAGTAAGGCTCCAGGAGCCAGAAAAGACCAGAAAGTGGATTTTCCCCTAGATCCTTGGAAGGACACCTTAATTTCAGTTCAGAGAAAGTAGTTTCAGACTTATTTTATGCTGAAAAATATATTTATAGTTACCTCTGTGTCTGTACCTCTTTTACCTCTCCAGGTGATTTCTTTAAGGCTGGCTTCATAGCAGGAGCAATTTGGCAAAGATGTCTCAGTGTATTACCCATTATCAGCATCTCTAAAGCATGTTAGGCATACTCATCTTAGGTTTTTTTTTTTTTTTTGGTACTGAGAATCGAACTCAGGACCTTGCACTTACCAGGCAGGTACTTGTGCTGCTGAGCTAGATCCCCAGCCCTCATCTTAGGTTTATGTGTAGGAAACATCTTCCATTTTAATAGTTGTGTATCTCACTGTATATAGAAATACAAATGACTAATTTTGAAACCTGTGATTTCACAGCAATGTAAAATTTCCTTATTCATTTAACTTGTGTGTGCCAGAGGATGGTAGCAAGTTGATATAAAGGAAAACATAAAGTTATATAGCACAGGTGAAGTATGAACAT